AAGGAGACTGGAGAAACCTCAAGAGTTTGGCCCCCAGACACCGTTTTAGCTCAGTGGTGAAGCTACCTCCGAGGTTCACTGTTCAGCCTGGGAGTGGACAGCCCCGTAAAACCAAATGAGACTAACGAGGTACAGGAGTCCAGTGACAAGGGCCAGAAGGCAGAAGGGGACAAGGAAGCTGGTGATAGGGAACCCAAGGTTGAGTAAGGATGTTGTTGATGTGTTGTGAGATTGTTAACCATTGTCATAGGGCAACATTTGTAGTAACTGTTAAATGAGAAACTATTTGTTCTGTAAGCCTTCACCTGAAGTACAATAAAATATAAAAAAAAAAAAAAGGTAAAAAAATAAAATAAAATCTGGGTCTCCGTGTGTTGACTCTTCTTCTCCTTGTCCACCTTTTCAAGTCACTGTCATACATCTCTCACTACCTTGACTCCCAGACTTCATGGAAAAACAATCTACACATCAAATGCTCTTTTATCAGTCCTCTCAATTCCTTGTAATCCAATTTTTCCCTCTCACTTCTCTCCTGGAATTTCATTTTGTAGGGTCCCCATTACCCTACTAATCAATAAACCCTGAGTCTTTTTTTAGGAGACTCAGAGTGTATGAAATTACCAACTTCCTTGAAATTCTCTCTTCTATTGGCCCTGACACTCTCTGTCTAGGCTGTCCTTGTACCTCCCAAACCCTCTTACTTGATTCAATTTTCTAATTTCTCTTCTACTCTTCCCTTACTCTCTTTTTCCTTGCTCTACAAACTCTCTTGGGAGTCACATACAATTACATAATTCCAAATATCATGGTTTGCATCTTTTGCATTCTAAAATCATGGCAAAGATATCAGTTGTCAATTTTCTTAACAATGGTGTGCTTAAATCATCCCATAATCCCCTTTCCAGGAAATAAAAGAGAAATGACCCTTGTGCTACTCCAAATTGTTTTTAAGATTACTCTGTTGATCTATGGTTTAGCATTAACCTATATCTCCAAACTACAGGCTTTGCTAAACTCCAACAAAATAAGTAATCAATTGTGTTTATTTTATTTATAAAAAATAATTGTTGTGGTTATCTGTGTTGCATTTCCTCTGATGAGTCATGTATAGAAAATTGGACCATGTGTTACAGTTTTATTTAATTTTATTTTTGTTTATTGTTGTAGTTTAAATGAAGTTTACATTTCAAGTTAGTCTCCCATACAAAAATTTGTACATACATTGTTATATGACCGTCCCCATACTGTGACAGCACACTCCTCCTTTCCACCCCTGATTCCCCATGAACATTCAACCAGCTCCTAACCCTCTTTGCCTTCCCATCTCACCTCCGGACAGAAGCTGCCCATTTAGTGTCTTGTATCTACTTGAGCTAAGAGGCACACTCCTCATGAGTATCACTTTAGGTCCCACAGTCCGGTCCAATCCCTTTCTGAAGAGTTGGCCTCGGAAATTGTTTTAGTTCTGGGCTGATAGAGAATCCAGGGGCCATGCTTTCCGGGGTTCCTCCAGTCTCAGTCAGACCATTAAGTCTCGTCTTCTTGCTAGAATTTGAGTTCTGCACCCCACCTTTCTCCTACTCTGTCAGAGACTCTCTGTTGTGTTTCTTGACAGGGTGGTCATTGGTGGTAGCCAGGCACCATCTAGTTCTTCTGGTCTCAGGCTGATGAAGTCTCTGGTTTATGTGGCCCTTTCTGTCTCTTGGGCTACTACTTTCCTTGTGTCTTTGGTGTTCTTCATTCTCCTTTACTCCAGGTGGTTTTAAAAACTACAGTTTTTAAAAGTGTTTGAAATCTAGCTACTGAAGGGGATATAAATCAGGCACAAACTTAAGATAAAATTTTACAACAAATTTAAATAAGAAGTTTGAAATCTAAACGTAATTTGATGCTATTGATGTTCTCATTCCAAGTTTAATATGGTCATTGCAAAGAATACTAACGTTTATAAATATATTCTAGTGCCAACAAATTAAGCAAGAACTACATTGAGAGATTTTATGAGTGCAACAGATACGTATCAGTAGTTCATAAACTCAACTTTGTTTTACTGTGTAACATACATTTGAGTTAAAGCCATATTGGAAGAAACGTTCTGCAGTAGAAAAGGACACTGTGTAAGAATGCTTAAAGAATAGAAATTTGCTAAGAGTTTTGAGATCATGCTGGTTCATTGTAATGAGTTCTATTAAGATGAGAAATAATAGTTTTTCTGTAGTGATCAAGACTAACTGTAGGAGATTAAATCCAATGACCAGGAAAAGGAAGAAATCAGTGTGCCTCTCTGGAGTTTGCCTGCAGCTAAATTGCTTTGTGTTAAACTGAATTTGCTAGCTAAGGCAATTACTTTTGTATAATATTTTCCCTTCAGAGGGCAACTGTAAATGATACATGTAGCAACCCAACAACCAAAAAAATGATGTAAAATATTTTATTATCAATAAAGTGCTGTAACTGTGAAGGTAACTGAATGATACATGTAGCGAATCAGCAACCAAAAAAAAAAAAAATGTGAAATGCTTTATTGTCAGTATAATTTGAGGCATTCTCTATAATTGTACTATGAATTCTCTGAGCTGAGAAAAATCTTAAAATGTGTTTTTACATTTCACTTTGCCTACTAAAATGAACTGGGAATATTTCTAATCATGTGGTCCACTGACCATACACAGCTGAGTGTAACAGGCGAGCATTTCACCATTGTCCTTGCTCAGGGAGATCTTTCAATGGTTACATTGACTCTCAGCTGCGTAACTCTTCAGGGCCTTTCCACTTCACACCAGCTTTCCCTATGTTTTCAGAGATCTGAGCTCGATTTCAGGCACTTACGAGTGTCTTGGCCTGCTAGAGTGAGAACCGCTTTAAGGGAAGTGGGGATGCACAGGGGGGCATCAATTGAGCTGCACAGTCAGTGGCAGCCTTTGGGCTTCTCAGCAAAAGCCACCTATGGTGCCCTTTCCAACATGCTCCCTGGCACTGGTGACTCAAAACTTGGTTAGAGTGGAAACTGGGAAATCAACAATGATGACTTTGCTCCTGGGTCCATAGCTTCCCTGTAGGTCCAGTCCCCTGTAGCTCCATAGGCCCCTTGTCCTTTCTACATTATCACATCTCCTCCTTCCTAATCCAGACAGCAGTTGTAATTTTTACTTAATTTGGGAGTCAAGGTCCTGGTTTCTCATCTTTTCTCTTCAATCTGTTGTTTGTGACAAAAACATTATGATCTTCATCCACATGGTTGGCACTCTAGAAATACTAAAGGGCTTCTCTTGAGAACTACAAACCTTGCCTTTCAAGACTGTTATCTCTGCCAGGAGCTCTGAAAGCATTTTTTTCATATGGAAAAGTCAAGAATTGCCTTCTTTGTTCTTTTGATTAACTATGGTGGTCTTTTTCTGGAAATAACTGAGGTGGAAGGGACTAGCTCCCTTAGCTGGGGAAGAACTTCAGAATACAAGAAATTGAAAGGAATTGAGAGAAAGAATACATCAGGTAATGGAAAAGAGTATGATGTCAAAGCTAAAATTATAGACTACATGGGATTGAATCCTGGCTCTACTTCTAACTAACTGTGCTATCTTAGTCAAGTTAATTTACCACACTGAGGCTTACTTTCCTCTTATGTATTCATTTGCTATGGCTGCCCTAACGAATTACAAAAAACTTGATGACTTAACAGAAATTTACTCTCTCAAAGTTCCGAAGGCTTAGAGTCCAAAATCCATCTTGTTGTTGTTGTTAGGTGCCGTTGAGTCAGTTTTGATTCATAGCAGCCCTATGTACAATAGAATGAAACACTGCCCAGTCCTTCACCTTCCTCACAATTGTTGCTGTGTTTGAGCCCATTGTTGCAGCCACTGTGTCAATCCACCTCATTGAGGGTCTTCCTCTTTTTCACTGACCCTCTACTTTACCACTCATGATGTCCTTCGGCAGGGACCAATCCCTCCTGATAACATGCCCAAAGTACATGAGACAAATCTCACCATCCTCACTTCTAAGGAGCAGTCTGGCTGTACTTCTTCCAAGACAGATCTGTTCATTCTTCTGGCAATCCATGTTATATTCAATATTCTTCACCAACACCATAATTGAAAGGCATCAATTCTTCTTCAGTCTTCCGAACAAGGAAGAAAATCCATTTTATTGGGCTGAAATCAAGGTGTTGGCAGGCCTGTGCTCCCTATGGAGGCTCTAGGGAGGAACCCTTCTTTGCTTCTTCCAGCTTCTGGAACTTGCCAGCATTCCAATCTCTGCCTCTGTGATTGACATTGCCTTCTCTTCCTCTGTGTCCTCTGCCTCTCTCTTGTAAGAGTACATGTGATTACATTTAAGGCCCACCCATAAAATCCAGGATAATCTCCCATCTCAAGATCCTTAACTTAATCACATCTGCAAAGTTCGTTATTACCTTATAATATTTACAGGTTCCAGGGATTAGGGCCTGGATATTTTTGGGGGACCATTATTCAGCCTCTCACATCATCTGTAAAAGAATGTTGATAATAGTACCTATGTGAACATTAAAGTATATAATATATGAAAAGCACTTAGAACAATGTCTAGCATGTATACGGCACTCAATAAACGTTAGCTCATTATGGTGGTGGTGGTAGCATAGGTGGTAGTGGTAGTATGGGTGATGATACAGCAATAAGAAAATAGGTTTCAAAACGAACAAAATTCTTTTTAAAATAAGCATATCTGCAGGGTCTCATCTCTGAATCTTTGATGTGTGCTAACTTTAAGATATTAATATTATTTAAAATATTGCGCCTCCAAATTGAGTAATTATTACCCAATGGTTTAGGTATATGATTCAAATAGCTTTTTTTGCATTTATTTATTGTTACTTTTCATTTGAGATGGAAATTATTTCAATTTAATTTATCTTGAATTCATCTTCAATTTCATTCATCTTGAACTCTTCTTAAAATCAGAGTCAAAGATGCTATGTAATATAATCATCTCCTTTCGCTCTTGTTTCCCTGCCTGCCTAGGACACAGATTTAATGACATTCAACATCTCTGTCCACCGGTCATGGTGGAGGGAACATGGACCTGGCTGTGTTCGAAGAGTGCTGCCCCCATCAGCCCATGGGATGATGGATGAGTACACGTACGTCTCCGTCACAGGCTGCATGGTCGACTTCCAATACCTGGAGGTCATCCACAGTGCCGTCCAAATACTACTCTCTGTAAGTGTCATTGTCTGACCAGGACTGTCCTTAATTAACATTTTATATTTAAGCCTTCCCTCCACACTCTTTTAAATGACGGAACCAGCAGCAGTTATGGTATCATTTGTCATATTTAATGGCAGGTCACATCTTTTTCTTCACGGCATCCACACACTTTGTGTTCAGAACCAAGTAGTTGGTGTAGATACGGTCCACACCATTTAATGGAAGAGTGTCACCATTCCCCTAGAAGTGATGCATTACCCATTAATTACCTCAGGCTGGATTACAAATGTACTTCTTCTACTACTAATACATTCTTCTACTAATGCACGTTAGTTCCAGAGAAAGAAGGATGAAAATTCACCCAATGACTTGCTCGCTCAGACAATGGCTTGCTTAATCTAATAAATCTCACATTCTAAATATTTATTCCTTTAAAAACAAATTCATCCAGAGAGTCTTAGCTATTTTAGTGCCTAAAAACTTGGTGTTAGGATACAGTCTCGTATGGAAAAATAAAGAAGGGAAATATGGCTTGATTGGACCACAGAAGGTTTATATGCTAGCAATTTCTTCAAGTTAATATCTTTCCACCAGAGTGTCCCACCCACAGTTTTGAATGATATTTAAGATGTATAACGTCATCAAGAAGGTTGTTCCTTTGAGAACCAACAAAAACTTGGCGTTTTGTTTGAGTCAATATACAGTGAAGCCATTCTTGACCATACTTTTCACACAAACGAACCAACTCCGTTCATCTGCCCAACTGGTTATAGTTAGAGTCAGAATAAAGAGATACAGGTTCAATGATAAACAAGCAAATAAATAAATAACAGAAATATAAAAGAAATGTGTCAGTGAAGAAGTACTTTGGAATTATTTCTAGAAAGAACATTGAGAAATCCTTACTATCACTTACTGTAGAGGTAGTCCCCAACTTACAGCAGGGTTTCATTCTGACAACTTCCACAGTAAGTCGGTCCTTTTCTCATTATTATTGTCTTTTATTATCAGTATTTTTATAAATTTGGTCTTTATGAGTCTCTGGGGGTTGGGAACATTACATATAAACTTACAGATATATTTTAATACATACATACATAAAAAAAATCATACATAAATAAAATCATAAAAATTTACTCTAATAATGAAGGAGAATTGTACGACATTGACATTATGTCAGTTGTGGTAACAACTCCACTTGTAGGAGGTTCTGGATCATCTGGATTAGCCCTGGGAATGGGGATTGTGTTTCTAGTCAGAAAATTAGTGAGAGTTGTCTGTATGGTCCTTTTCTTTTTTTCTTCATATATTTTGCAGTAACATCTCACTGCTTTCTGAATCTGCCCATCTTGACTTTAGCAAAGCGATCAGTGTTTGGGTCCATGTTTTTAAGCAACTGAAGCCCCTAATTTAGTTTAGAAAAATCTCTAGCTAATCTTTTCACTGTAAAATAAGATCATGCTATAGGCCTAGTCTACAATGAAGTCAGCGTCAATGTCATAACAATGAAGTTGGAGTCCTCACAGCTATCTGGCATGTGTGTAGTTCAATTGTCGTATGCCATTAGAGTTGAACATTGCCCAACTTTTTATCCATTACGACTCGCAGCACTTACTTCATTGTAGACCAGGTGGCAGTGTTTTGAATACTAAATAATAAAACTGAACATCTGTGAGTGAACATCTGAGAATGATAACATTAGCAAATTATGTGCTGCAACACTGTATATAGTACATATTACTAACAATAAGATGTACAAAAAAAAAGGATGATTGTAAGTACAATTCGTCATAACTTGAATAAGTCATAAGTTGAGGACTACCTGTGTACATCATCCACTGCTGTGGAACAAATCACTCTTAAATGTAACTACTTAAAACACTATCATTATATTGCTTAGAGTTCTGTGGGTCAGGAATTTGGACAGGGATCAGTTGGATAGTTCTTCTCTTCCACATGATGTTGGCTAAGGTCATTCATGTGAACAATTCAACTGAGTGTTCTACTGGGGCTGGAACATCCAACAAGACCTCACTCACAAGTCTAACTGCATGTGGTTTCTCTTTCTCCAGTAAACCTGACAGGCAGCTAGGTTCCAAAAGGTGAAACCCTATATGCAAGAATTTATCAAGCCTCTACTTGAGTGATGCTTGCTATTGTCCCATTGGCTAAAGCAAGTCACATGACCACGTCCAGCGTGAATGTGGGAGGCAGTCTAGGGAGGTGAGAATTCTAGGAGGCATGGTTCATGTGGGACTCCTAATGTAATGATCTTACCTCATTTACATGATCTATTAAATATTGTTCTTTAACCTGCATGTCTGAAGCTTTAAAATAGTGTTTCTAGAGTATATTTTAATTTACAGTGCTGTAGAGAGATTATAGCTATGTTATTTATGATGGTAAAACAATTTTCTAGAAAGACTAAAGATAAGAATGATTAAAAAAAAGTCAAAGATCTTTTAGTGCTCCAGTTCAAAGAGACGCAAATTTGACACTGATTCAAAGAAGAAGAAGGGGGGTGTACCTCAATGCCAAGGAAATTTTCTTAGAGATGTAACAGGGAATCTGCTCATTCTTGGTTTCTATAATAATACTTACAGATAAAAGTATAATATACTTTAATTTGTCAATATATGTTTATCAGTTTTTCCCTATCTCTGGTCTTCTTTTAGTCTGGCACTTACATATAAAATTGTGGCAAAATATATATGTTTAAATCTTTGTATTAAAAAAATATAGAGAGAGGCATATTTTCTCTTAAAATGTTTCAGTCTGTTTTAGGGTATCAAAGTACTCTATTTTCATACACCAGATTCTAATGGTTCTTACTAATTTTGTTTTAATATCGAAAGCATTTTTCTAGACTCTTTCATATGTAGATCTTTCTCCCTATTAAAAATATATTTTTTTGGTACATTGAGAAACCATTTGTGAAATAATGGCATGATATCCAAATGTTTATAATGCAGCAAAATGCCATGGAATCTAGAAGTCATTTCCCAATAGTAACTCCAATTCAAATGAATATCAAGGTGAAAGTATTTATTTGATAAGGAGCTGAACTGTTACATTAAAAACTTGCCCTAAAGGAAAATATTAAAGAAGTTTTATATGTTGCCCCCCAAAATCCTTGTCACTTATAAATGAATTCCTTGACATATTATTTTAGTGAACACTCAAAGCCATCCATATGCATATAAGGTCCTGACTATACTATTCAGCCTTTAGACAAGAAAAGGATTAGTGGCTGCTCTCTGCCTTTCTTTGTGGAATATACCTGAAAGACAAGGTTTCCAACATTTATCTTTCTATGTTAAAATAAAATATATCCTGAAATTGTTTTTGCAACTATCAAAGTACGAATTATTGGTGTGGTTGATTTTTTATGGATTTCTTGGATTTTCAGCTTATTTCATGTGAGTATGTTTACCATTATTAGATTTTATTTTAATCTGATGATATGAGAGTCCCTCCTGTATGCATTGCCTTCGATGTGCTGAGATGTCACCTTATCTCTGAGGGGCAGGGGTGATGGTCACGTGACTTAATGGCCTGTGCGGCACAGGCACCAACCAGTCAGATGGAGGACTTTGAGATGGGGCGGGATCCTGGAGGTCCTGCTGCACAGGGGTTACCCTTTAGTTACTGGATGGCACAGGAATATCTGACAGGACACAGGAGAGGGACTGAGGTGGCCAGGATGGTGGAGGGAGGCTCCTCAGTGCTTCAGGACCACAGCTCTCTATCAAATGAAAGTATTTGAATGAATGAGTGGATACAACTCTGCTGGTTAATACTGCCTGAATAATTGCCCTGCACACGAGCAAAGCTTGGAAGTGGAAGAAACTAAACCCCAATTGTAAGCATCCTGTTGAAACTCTGCAAGCTTTACATAAATGAAAAAATAACAGAACTCCGAGAGAAGGCGACAGGCTGAATTCTCATCACCTTGGACAGCCCCATAGGCCTCTGAGAGCATCTGTGCCTCCCCCATACCCCAAAGCCAGGCACACCGAGCTCCTCCTAGAACCAGCAGCCTGTACCACAGTGTGCCTCATGACCCCTTCAGAGGCGCTCGGGTGGAGGGCGAGCGGGAGCGTGGAAGGCAGAGAGAAGGTTCTTATTGCCCTAATCTCCTATAGCAGGGCTTCTGCAAATTGTCAGCAACACCAAGCTGAAGATTAGGCTGGAGGCCAGAAAGGGGTTGTGGGTAGTGTGAAGGAGTGAGTAGAAAAATGTGACATGTGTAGGAGATGAGCAGTCAGCGTGTAGCCAGGATCAGACTGGGGGATGACATCAGTCCCTCCTCGCCATCCTCACAGCCACTTCTGTGGTTCATTTACTCAGCCTTCTTCACCTAGCAGTACAACCAATAACCTCCTAGTCTTCTGCCCCAGCTCTGCCCTGCCAATCTGCCATGTGTGCACTCGCTCCCAGAAAGAGGATGATAAAGTGCAAATCTGATCGCTCACTTTTCTTCTTACCTCCTGTCAATGATGCCCGTGTCCTTTGGGTTGAAAACTGAATTCAGCTGCCCTCCCTCACCTCCTGACCTCCCCCAAAGCACCCCCAGCCATCTATATGGAGCATGGAACATTCCACACACACATCCTGCGTTCTCGTGCCTCCAAGCATGTGGCATTCTTCTTAGAATGGGTTCTCCACCCCATCCCTTCTCCCTTTTTACTCTAACTTTGCCTCTTCATCCACCTGGCTATTGTCTACTAATAGACATCTTTCAAAACAATGTTTCAGGTGTCTTCATTTAACGTTTTTAATTGGTAATGCATTTGGTTGGTTAAAAAGCATAAAAATGTATACAATGAAAATATCTCTTCCCACCTTTGTGCCCCATTTTCCTGGTTCCTCTGTCTCTCCTCTGAACAAGCAGCTGATTTTTGTTTCGTTTGTTTATTAGGTCTTTTTGTGTGTATAATTCCAAAGAGTGTTTATGCAAATAAAAGAAAATATTATTCTATATCTTAGGTGCCCTCCACAAAAGATAGCAT